AAACTCGCGGGGCACCTTTAACCGTGGAAACGTGTTATCACTACCTGGTATTAGCCGCGGAAGAGGTTCCAGCATGTCTTACTGAATTCAAATGTTGCCCGCCGATCAGGAAAAATAGTAATCGAGTAAATAAATTTTTTTACCTAATATCCATTTTTCTTGTTTAAAGCTGCGTCCAGACTATCGAGCCGTAACGCGAGCCGAACCCCGAGCTGAACTTTGAATCGAAATCAAGTCGAGCTTTAAACCAAATTTCACGAGTGATCCATATTGTGATTTTAATTATCTGTTTTATATAATTAAATATACGCTCATACAATGAACGGCTCGGCTCGAGGCTCTGCTCGAGGTTCGGCTCGCGTTTCGGCTCGATAGTCTGGACGCGACTTAAGGGGATGCTGGAGTGACAAAATTATGACATTACAGTCGTATAAAAACCTTCGAATTGATTGAACAGAATAAAAAAACCTTTTACAGGATTAAAGTAGACGCAAAATTAGGTGGTGCAGTGGATCTTGTACTAAAATCGAAAAAAATTTTTTAACATTCTTTCGATTTTAGTATAAAATTCACTGCACCACCTCCTAATTTTGCGTCTACTTTAATCCTGTAAAAGGATTTTTTATTCCATTCAGTCAATTCAAAGATTTTTATACAACCGTAATGTGATAATTTGGTCACTCCAGTATCCTCTTAAGGTAGTACTAGCGCGACAATATCGTCCAAAAGTTTAGTCCCGTCGTGGCGCTCGATGGCGATACCTCACTCCAGCCAGAGAGAGAAAACTTTCGATTGTCCTGTCCAAGACCGCACGCACACGCGGAAAGAAAATGAATACAGATAGACGCAGACAAACGCCGGTGCTGTCAGATGTTCGGCTGGCCGTACCCTCTATTCTCTTCAATTGCCACCATATGCCAAAGAAAATCGAAACATTGCGTTCTTTTCACAGCTCTATTTTCCTAACTAAATGGTAAAAAATTATAACCTTTTTTTACAATATCGTTCATGTTCCTTCGTAGTGTGCTCGTTTTTTGTAACAATTATAAGAATGGTATGGATACTATAATTAAAAATCTGACGTTATTTTGAGTTATGCTTCACATGTTAAAACTGCATACTTGGATTGTAATTATCTCAGAAACTAGACGGTCAATATGTTTCTAATTACACACAAACATAGAGAACATTTCAACTTACTTGTATGTCAAATTTTAGCACATTCGTAAGAAAATCATTTTATGCTAGTACTATCTTAACAATTTCACACACACAATTGTAATCATTACGTCTATATCTTCGATGAGCAGATGTTTCAAAACAGTACCTATTTGAAAAAATTTGTCACGTATCTATCGATATATAACATGCAGAAATATTTTAATTGAATAAATTTTTAAGTTTTCAAGAATGATTTCTATATTTAATATCAGATTAATAGGTCAATTCTAAGCAGAATCATAAGATTCGTAACGTGTTCTCGTAAAATTTTTATATAAGAACTTATGACTAGTATTTTAATTTTATGCGTATATATCGTAAGACATATGATTATTCGTAAATATTTACTGTAAATTTTATGGCTAGTAAGAAGCTGTCTGCAAAAATATTGTATATATAAAGATATAAGTATTTAAAAATTCTTACAAGTCTTTTACAGGAATATGTTACGAGCCTTACGATTCTACTTAGAATTTAGGCATTAAACTTATTCCATAAAATGATTCATGATAAATCAATTTTCAATTTTGTACAAATGTTTATAGGAACAATTGTGGTATGGAGTTAAAAATGAGACGTTAGATATGATTGTTTCGGATCATTCTCCCTGTGTGCCAGAATTGAAAACTTTCGGAAATTTTTTGACTGCTTGGGGTGGAATCTCCTCATTGCAATTCGGTATATATTTATATAAAATTTATTAGAAAGTAGAAAGCATAAAATAAAAATATTATAGGAAGGAAAGAGGGAGAGGGAAGGACAAAAAATAAATAAGAAAGTTTTCAAAAATATAAATAGGATTACCGTTGATATGGACAGCCGCGAGATTGAGAGACATATCATTTTCTGATATTTCAAAGCTATTAAGCAATCAGCCTGCAAAGTTGTGCGGTCTCGAAGACCGTAAAGGTGATTTATCAGTTGGAAAGGACGCAGATTTTGTTATTTGGGATCCAGAGAAATCTATTAAGGTCAGTTCTATTGTACGTTGTCTTATAATTTCGAAAAATACAGAGCACTGCGTGAGTATCATCAAAAAATTATTGTATGTTCGCAGATCGAGGCAGACGACATTTATCACAAAAACAAAGTAAGTAAATACATAAGTTATATTAGAGAAAAATCTGAGAGTGGATATCCCGGCCTTTTTCGTGTACTAAACCTTGTAGAGTAATGTCCATGTTTTTGTGGTTCTTTTCCATGCTATTACGTGGGTACACAGTAAAAAATTTTTTATACATTAATATGTATAAACATATGTATACATTATATGTATACATATATGTATACAATAACATGTATAAACACGCATAAATATTCATAATCATAAATAATTATACATGAAATATGTCCATACATCCTTTTTTCTTTTGTAAAATTACTTTTTAGTGTACTAAAAATAATATTAATAATATTGAGAAAATATCAAAAGTAGTTAATGAGACTATTTTCGCATTGTTTGTTTTAGAAAAAATCAAGTTTGAAAAAATGTAAAAAAATTGCTCATACATAACTATGTATAATTTTACATGTAACTATATATGAGCAATTCTTTTACATTTTTCTAAAACAAACAACGCGAAAATTTTTCTTTTAATTATTTTTTATGTTTCCTCATTATTATTATTTTTAGTACACTAAAAAGTAATTTTACAAACTAAAGAAGGATATATAAACATGTATGGACATATCTCATACATAATTATATATGTTTATGAATTTATATATATTTATGTATGTTTATACATATTTATATATATTCATACATAAAAAATTTTTTATTGGGTAGACGAGAACGAAACAAAAAGTTGATTATTCGTCTTTGTCTAATCCACGTAATAGTACGAAAAAGAACCACAAGACGTGGACATTACTCTACGATCAGGATTGGTACACGAAAAAGACCGGGATGTCTACTCTCAGGTTTCTCTCTGGTGTTATACTGATTAAAATAGGAAACAATTCTCACGCAAGATCTCACCAAGTCTCCGAAAATGTTTACTTTTACAGCTGACACCGTATCAAGGAAAGATTCTATTTGGAAAAGTAATCGCAACTGTCCTTAGGGGACGATTTGTTTTTAAGGAAGGAAAGATTTGCGATAAACCTTTAGGGAAATTACTGCTAAATGCAAATATTTTGCAAACGATAGAAACCCAATAAACTTCATTTCATTTCATCGCTCACGAATCTTTATGGATTTTTTGTTTTTAATTTATTAAGGGTTTAATCCATTGCAAAATTAGTAAAAGAGGAACAAATGGAAATAGAATCGAAGTATAAAAACCATTTCTGACACGAAAAGTATATTACAAAAATCAATTTTGCAACTAATTCTTATAAACAAATTATTTAAATATTAACAGTAGAGGGAAACTAGTTATGTCAATCTACGATGATTTGGTTTAGCAATTTTTCCAAAGAATCAGTTAGCGTAATCAGTTTTTATTTACAGCTAATATTTAATAATTTGTTTGTAACAATTAGTTACAAAATTAATTTTTTTAATGTGATTTTTATATTCAGAAATGTTTTTTCATGCTCCAGTTCTATTTCCAATTGTTATTTTCATGGACGTATCGTGGAATTTTTTTCGGTAATTATTGCGAAAAGGTTAAATTTCGTCGATGACCTTGACATATGTTATCAAGGTCATGACCCTGAATAACCTCTAACAGGCCGCCGGCGGTCGCCATTTGTTAAAAAGTTATTAACAAAAAAAGTTTTAAAAAATAGCGTCTCTTTTCTACTATATAAAACAAAAATTCTTTATTTTAAAATAGATTTCCTGCTTTAAAAACAAAAATTTTCTTTGAAAATGTTTTCTCATCATTTTTGTTATTATATAGGGTGTCCCATTTTAATCGATCACCTCAAATATCTCTTGAACAGTGAATTTTAGGGAAAAATGTTTCAGACAAAAGTTTGGGACTTCGAGGGGGACATAAGATGGTGCCACCCAAACCAATGGCACCATCTTATGTTCCCCTCGAAGTCCCAAAATTTTTGTCTGAAACATTTTTCCCTAAAATGCACAGTTCGAATGACTACAAATGATATATATGCAAGTACATATATAGTATATATAGTAATTCAGATTGAATTATTTAAGCATTAAAGATCTAGCTTTGGCTGTTACGGCCATTACTTCTATTTCTTATTGTTGAAAAGTGAAACTCTTCTCAGCCAATACAGGTAACAGCAAATCTTGTCTGTGTCGTATATTGGTCAATAGGGCATCGATATACACAGCAGGTCGCACGACGC